TGTTAGAGTAAAGGCAAAGGCTGTGGTCCCCTGACTCATATTTACAAACTTTCTTCTCCAGTCTATTACTTGTCTACTTTCCCATGAGTTCTATGTTTTTATTGTTGTTAGTAGCCATCAAGTCGGCTCTGACTTATAGCAACCCTATGTACAACAGAAGGAAACACTGGCCAGTTCTGCACCAGCCTCATAATCCTTGCTATACATGAGCCCATTGTTGCAATCATTGTATCAATCCATTCTGTTGACAGCCCGAACATTATACTCTTCTCCAGGGAATGATCCCTTCTGACAATCTGACCAAAGTAGGTGAGATGAAGTCTGGACATTTTCACTTCCAAGGAGTATTATGGATGAACTTCTTCCAGGACAGATTTATTCATTCTTCTGGCAGTCCTTGGCACTTTCAGTATTCTTCACCAACATCAGAACTCAAAAGCATCGACTCTTCTTTTGTATTCCTTATTCATTGTCCAGCTTTCACATGCATATGAGGCAATTGAAAATACCATGGCTTGGGTCAGGGACACCTTAGTCTTCAAGGAGACATCTTTGCTCTTTAGCACTGTACAAAGGTCTTTTGTAGCAGATTTGCCCAATGCAGTACATTGTCTTATATCTTGACTGCTGCTCCCATTTGTGTTGATTGTGGAACAAAGTAATTTGAAATCTTTGACAGCTTCAATCTTTTTTTTTTTTCCCCCTCCATTCATCATGATGCTGTTTATTGGTCCAGTTGTGAGGATTTTCATTTTCTTTATGTTGAGGGCAATCCATACTGTCAACTGTGGTCTTTAATTTTCATCAGTAAGGGCTTCAAGTCATCACTTTCAGCAAGAAAGTTTGTGTCATCTGCATATTGCAGGTTGTCAATGAGTCTTCCTCCAATCCTGATGCCACATTCTTCTTCATATAGTCCAACTTCTTGGATTACTTGTCAGCATACAGGCTGAATAAGTATGGTGAAAGGATACAGCCCTGACACACACCCTTCTTGATTTTAAACCAATCAGTACCCCCTTGATCTGTTTGGACAACAGCCTCTTGGTCTATGTATAGGTTCCTCATGAACACAATTAAGTGTTTTGGAATTCCTATTCTTCTCAATGTTATCCATGCTTTGTTATGATCCATGCAGTCAAATATTTTTGCACAGTCAATAAAATACAAGTAAACATATCTCTGGTATTCTTTGTTTTCAGCCAAGATCCGTCTGACATCAGCAATGATATTCCTCATTCCATGTCCTTTGCTGAATTCAGCTTGCATTTCTAGAAGGTCCTTGTCAATATAATGCTGCAACCATTTTTGAATTATCTTAAGAAAACTTTTACTTGCATGTGATAGTAATGATATTGTTTGATAATTTCCCTCATTCTTTTGGAACATATTTCTTTAGAATGAGAGCAAATATGGCTGTCTTCCAGTCAGTTGGCCAGGGAGCTATCTTCCAAATTTCTTGGCATAGATGAGTAAGTGCCTCCAGCACGAAATCCTTTTGTTGAAATATCTTAATGGATATTTCGTCATTTCCTGGAACGTTGTTTCTCACCAATTCCTTCTGTGCAGGTTTGACCTCTTCCTTTAATATCATTGATTCTTGATCATGGGGCATCTCCTGAAATATGTAAACATCAACCAATTCTTTTTGGTACAGTGACTCTCTATTCCTTCCATCTTCTTTTGCTGATTCCTGAGTCATTCAATATTTTGCCCATAGAATCTTTCAATATTGCAACTCAAGGTTTGAACTTTTTCTTCACTTTTTTCAGCTTGAGAAATATACTCTATGGTACATTCAAAAAAGGCTTGTTTCAGTTAATAAGTTGAATGTAATATTTGGAGCTTTTTAATAAGATTTTAATTTTTACTTATATTTTTTTCCCCTTAGAGTAAAATATATACTATATGTATAGATATAAGGAGCTCTGGTGGCATAGTGCCTATGGCACTTGACAGCTAACCTGAAGGCTGGCAGTTCAAACCCACCAGGCACTCCTCAGAAGGAAGGTTGGGCAATGGTACCACTTCAGAAACCTAAGAAGGGGTCGCTATTAGTCAGATATGTATTTAGTCTTTGTATAAATTGCAATAAAATAAATCAAAGCCCTCATTCATAAATGTTCTTGTTCTTTTCATTTCTCTAGTTGGTATACAGAATTTATAATCTTTTAAATAATGTGATAAACACCAAACTGCATGCACATCCATTGAATGATTTCCCAGTTCACTAATGAATCCCTCCAAATAAAGTAACTGATTTTTGCTCACAATAGAATACAGATCACCAACTGAATTTTTATTCAGACTGTTCACTCTAACCCCCATCTCCAGTCCAAGAATTTTTTCACATAAATTATCCTGCCTTAGATGAACTTGAATCTTTCCTAGCATAGGGATCACACTTACATTACATGTAATAATCCTTTAGGAGCTCTGGTAGTGTAGTCCCTAAGGCACTTGACTGCTAACCAGAAGGCTGGAGGTTCAAACCCACCAACCACTCCTCAGAAGGAAGGTTGGGAAATCTACTTTTGTAGTGATACCACCTGGGAAACCCAAGGAGGGGTCTCAATGAGTCTGGTCTGACTCGATGGCACATAACAACAATAACAACAACAATTTTTCACTTATTTTTTCTAAGAGAAAGGAATTAAATGAGAAAAGTACATTCTCCATAAAAGGGCAGAGCATCTCCCTATATGTCTTTATGGAAAGAAAAGTAAAGAGTATATTCACAATTGAAAATATCCATTTATCTTTTGTTGCTGATGCTATAGTTCTCTAAAGAAATAATGATACAGAGACAATTCCATGAGGAAATACTGAATTGTACTTGTGTTAATAGTTTATATGAAATAAAGCAATTACAGCTGAATGTTATCTTTTGGGTCACTGTGATCTCAAAACACAATTCGAAGCATCATTATTCTCTAATTATTATTATTTCTTTTTTTGTGTCTAATTTATAGGTCATGCATGTACTTCAACTTCTCAAAAACAGACATTCATTTATGCCTAAATTCCATTAAGATAATCTCTCTTAAATATGATAAATTGATCAAAATATCAAGATACACTATAAATGTAATAAACATATTGGAGGATACATATATGCTTTCTAAAAATCATTTAAGAATTTTAGTTATATAAATTGATAACCAACTAGCCTCCCAGATTTATAAATAAAATATGGATGAAGAGATGAAAGTTTAAAATTGCTAAATCCTTGTGGAGATATTCCAGTCTTACCAGAAACCACTGTGTCATTATGTGATTCCTGCATTCTGTTTCTAGTAGAGTCAAAATAAGTCTAATTGGAAACATTTCCATTCTTTGTTTTCTTAGTGAAATCATTTGTTGGGAAAAGAAAAATGGTCTCTAGCTCTAAGGATCAATGCATATGAACTTAAAGTCATAAGTCACATATAGTTGAATATGAACAGACTTATTTATTTATTTTTTTCTATACTTGTTCAGTAAATGCAATGTTTAAGTAACACGTTATCTTTCTCTTTTTCTTGCCACTTGGTGGATAGCTAATTATTTACAACAAAAATAGAAACTATGTGTAAATCTTTAATTTTTTCTTAAACAGTGATATTAGTTTAAGTGTTTATTGGCATCATGTTTTCAATGTTTATTAGTCCTTCATGATTTTGGATGCATTTAAGATTATGTGATTTTCAGTTTAACAAATAAGCAAATTCTTGTCCATCTTTCAAAAGAAGTAAGGTATAGGACGCATTTTAAGATATTAAAGATTTATTTCCTTCATTGTCATTCCTTGAGAGTTTAATGATTTATCACATTAATAAACATTAAATATATAAGTCTACTTATACAAGGAGCTCTGGTGGCTTAGTGCCTAAAGCATTTGACTGCTAACCAGAAGACTGGTGGTTCAAACCCACCAGCCACTCCTCAGAAGGAAGACTGGGAAATCTACTTCCGTAGAGATACCACCTTGAAAACCCAAGGAGGGGTTACTATTAGTCCAAATCTACTCGATGGGTATGAAATATACTATTTATTCTTGAAATAAGTAAAAAATTTTTAAAAATTATCTTAGATACATTCCTCACCATGGAAACATGATTATAGACCTGGAATTCTGGGACAATGTTAAATTATAAAAATATTGAACACTTACTATCTGTAACAAACTATTCTTTAAATCATGTCCTCTGTCAACCCACAGACATATGTACTGAGATATGAAGGAATTAATAAACAATAATAGAAATAAATAAAATTTTCCATCATTTATATTTGGACCTCTCTCTTTTTAGAAAATGTTTCAAAACTTTCCAAATGCAACATCATTTAAGGAAAGAGAACTGAATCTTGCTGATGTAATCCCTCATACAAATGAATGAGTGTTCTGATAGCTGTAATATTCCCAGTGTAATCAAAATGGATGAATATAATTAATTTGTACAGTCCATTCTAAGCTTCCATAAAATAAAAGTAATATGACTTTTCACTCACATTTATAGAAAAATAGCACTTTATATCCTCATTATATTTTGTTAGAGCTCACAAGCCTCTCTAATTTGGCAAATTCACACTCGGTTTTACACACCATTTCTATAATGAGGGAGCAGGCTGGACACCAGACACTTTTAACCACCTTCATAGCTCTTCTCACTGTAGATAAATGGGTGTTACTGGTAGGATAAAAATCAAATGTGTAGGAAATGTTACAAAGAAATAAAAACTGCTTAATTTGTTGTGACTAAGGTATTGTCTAATTTCTTCCTACACTGACAACCGGCATGCAATATAAATGGAACAAGGAGTGTGCATTTAATATGAAAATCATGTTATTTAATACTGGAGGATAATAGATTTATTTGTAAGGCCCTCCTGTCACCATGTAAGAAGCAAAAAGAAACCTTGTGAGGATAATGGGTGAAAAATAAGTGCAAGTTACAATAGTAGTGATTCTTTCAACTCATTTTTTTGCCTTCCATCTAAATGCTGTATTATGTTGACAGATCTGGGAAATTTTAGTGGCCGGACAAGAAGTGCAGTCTCTGTGAGGGAAGGCCAGGGGGTTGTTCTGATGTGCTCTCCTCCGCCTCATTCACCAGGTACAGTAGGATCCCATATTCTATATTGCTGCTGTTCTCTTTGACTGTATGCTCATTCTTTTAGACACTGTATTGACTGGAGAACATATCAAGTGAAATATGCATGGTTTTCTTGATATGTATCAGAATATCAGATGAGTAAGTAAAGGTCATATGCTCTAAATGCCATTGGACAGAAGACTGAGCTCTGATGACAACATTGTTTTATTGCCATTCTAGCTGTTGACTTGTCGTGTTTATGTCTCTGCCTGCCACCAGTGAAGAATATATTGTCTACAGCACAAATAAAGTGATAAACTGAGAGAGTAGAAACTTTTCAAAATTTTTTGGAGTGTCAGAGTTGAGTGAACTGAATACCAGTGTGCATCTTGTTTGGGAAGATAAGCTGGGAACTTGGTTGTTTATGGTGTTGTTTGCCACACTGAAGCAAAAACATTGCTAAGAAATAGTATTTTTTTTTTTTTTTTGAGTTTCAGAACAAAACTGTAATTTATTTATTCTGTTTTTATTTTTTGCTATTTGAGAGCTTGCTCATAAAATTCATGGCAATCGGTAAGTATTTCATGGCATTTGGGAAACAGAATAGTAAACTATGGTCAGATTAATTATATGTCCTTTTGCCAACACACAACTAATTATATTTATTTTATTTGAATTGTACAATTTGTGAGGAGCATCACTTTGTACCTCAACTTAATTTTCCTAAAATACTATATAATTTAAGAGTGACCAGCATCAGTAGGAAAGAGAGTTGACCGAGGAAGACGGAGATGGAGACAGAAGTGGAGATACAGAGAGAGAGGAAAAGACAGAGAGAGAAAAAGGGAGATTGTGCCAAAGGTCTACTTATTTTTGTCTAAAAAATTTGTGAAGACCTTAGAATTAACAACTGGAAACAGATTTCAGAATGCTTGTTTGTCAAACAATTTTTATCTTTCCATTTTTGTGGAAGTCTTATTTATTTCAAGATTGTAGTAATAGGTCTCAATTTGTTTCTACTGTGAATAATTCTTATCATACGTAATGGAAGACACTGCATCTATTTTCTTAAATTTTTCTTCCTTTTATATGACCTTCCTTCTTATTTTTCCTTCACTTGAAGGAAAAATAAACTACATTACAACAGAGAAATATTGTTTGAAAACATGTTTCTTTGAGACTCAGAGAGTAATCACTATTAGGAAAAATTCTCCAATTGCATCCACTTTTTCCTATGTCAATACAGTCACTTCATTCTTTCTGTGAACAGTTGGGAATTTACAATAAGCATATATAACCTTACCTATATTTAAGTTCAGTTCAGATTCCTTCAAGCATTTATTTTTTAATTTATTTAACAAAGAATACAACATTTGTATAAGTTATGTCTAATGTTAGATTATTAGACATATGTTGTATGAAAAGCAGGAATTGATGAGTAATTGATAGAGATACAAAATGAAGAAGAAGGAGAAGAGGAAGAAGGAAACAGATTTGATAGAAAATGAAAGGGATTATCACCAGACTGACAAATTAGCACAATGGAATGAAAAAGTAAAGCAATGTTTTCTGGAATGTTATCTATATTGCAAAGCTGTTGCAACATATGTTTAAAAAAATGGGAGAGCATAATAGAAAGTAAATTTTTAAGATTAAACACTGATAAATTAACCAACTGGCAAAAAAAAAAAAAAAATACAGAGAGAAGATTTCTAATGGGGGAGAAATAGCATAATGGATTTAATATGGGATAAATAAACATGATGCCCCCGGGGATGGCCTCAGGGCCTCAGGCAGTCAGCTGCCACACCCAAGGCTGGCGGTTCAAACCCACCGGCCGTTCTGGTAGCATAGTGCCTAAGGCACTTGACTGCTAACCAGAAGGCTGG